CAGGTTGTCCTTCCGTATGTCACATTGGCGCACTGGCTATAGTTGCTTCCCAAGTGCTCAGCATGCCACATGCATGCCTCAGATTGTGCAGGCAGAGAGAGAACCTGCAGATAACCTTCTCATCACCTGAAGAATTTTGCCTAAGATAGAATGCCAGCTGGATGTTCTGAGTCCTGTTTTATTTACGTGGAATTTTAATTGAGATTCTATGTAAAGACATAGGCCTCAACTTATTTACACTCGACTAAAGTAGAGGTCACACGAGAGAAGAACTGCTATTAGGCTGGCATTACAACGACTACTTTGCTTTCGACTTAACCACTTATCTATATTCCTTGAAATTTTCCCCATTTTCACTCACTTGCTATGTGTCGAAAAGTGGTTTCTGTTCCTTTTGTAAAAACTAATTTTAGGCTGCTTACAGTTGTGTGGTATGGTAAAGTCTCTATGCCCACATTCGTTACATCCAAGCATTTATACATTGACTAAACTATCATTGAACTGGTTAAGTCTTCACAATGAGAAATCCAGACCAAAGGTTCTCATGGTATTAGAGGGGTAAGTATACATATAGTTTTCAAGAGTTTCACAATGCCTCTCATTAGCAGGTATATATATACTGTGTACTTATACATAAACACTGTGTCAAGTCTATATATACACACATATGTATATTCATATGTATATATACATATATATATACACACATATACATATACATATACATATACATATACATATACATATACATACTGTGTAGCTACATACACATACTGTTTCAAGCATGCAATATATACATATATATGTATCTATGTGCTGAGTAGCAATGGTTCAAGCTGAAATACATTAGGTGATACATTAGATAATCTTCAAAACTATAATGATTTTTGAAACAGAAATAGCTTTCCAGAAGTGCTTTACTTTAACAAAAGTGGAAAAAGTATATATACATATATATTTCTATGATTATAAAAATAATTCAATCATTGAAAAGAAATTCATAATATACAGAAAAGTATAAAAACAAAATATACCCTCTAATCCTTTGAAACTAGCAAAAAACGCATGGGATATACTTTGTTATAAAACATATTGAACTAGAAATACTGTTAATTTTGGACTATATATTCTTCTAGGAATATATATTTATATATTATTGATTTATAGGGCTTTTTTTTCAGGGACAGAATGATCTTATGCACACCATGAATTATTCTTTTTATTATTTATGTATTTATTTATGCATTTATTTATTTTTATAATGTTTATTCACTTCTTGAGAGACAGAGACAGAGTATGATCAGGGCAGGGGCAGAGGAGAGGGAGCCACAGAATCTGAAGCAGGCTCCAGGCTCTGAGCTGTCAGCACAGAGCCTGATGTGGGCCTCCAACTCACGAACCATGAGATCATGACCTGAGCTGAAGTCGGATGCTTAACCGACTGAGCCATCCAGGTGCCCCATGAATTATTCTTTAAAAAAAAAAATGTTTAAGAAAGAGAAGCATGAGCTATGGAGGGGCAGAGAGAGAGACAAACAGAATCCCAAGCAGGTTCCATACTGTCATGCAGAGTCCAACTCAGGGCTCCATCTTGCGAACTGTGAGATCATGACCTGAGCCAAAATCAAGAGTCAGACACTTAACCAACTGAGCCATCCAGGTGCCCCCACCTGTTGATGAATTATTCTTCATCAACATTTCCAAATTTTTCTACAGACAATATGTTTATCAGAAAGCAGTTTGAAGGGTGCACAAGAAATTCAGCTCTTCTACACACAAAATTCACAAAACATTCAATTGTCCCTGGAATTCTTTTTAGTTCTCTGGAATAAACAGTAGATTGTAATGAATAGGAAAAAGAAGCTGATTTCTCGGCATTAGACCAATTTCAAAGTAGCCCTGGCCTATTGTCACTTTCAGTCTCAACTATATTAATAGAAAATAAAGTTTTAAACTTTGTCTTGAAATTGGAACCACACATTTATGGAGAGACAAGGAACTTTGGAAATTACCAATTGCAAAAAAATTACCAGACAGAAACTTAGGGAGACAACAGAAAAGACAGAATCAATGAGTCCTTGACTAATATCACTCAAATTATTGTGGAATATAACTCCAAACTCTTTTGATGCAATGACCATTTTAAGATCTGAAACTATTTTCTTACGGCTTGGGTAAGAATCCTAATTTATATCAGACTTTATATTATCCAGTAATCCTCCAGTGTCCTGACTTTATTAGATAACTTTGACATAGAAGAGGTAGAAGTTTGGAGCATGTTTCTTTTTGTCTTTTTTTTTTTTTTTTTTTCTTTGTGATTAAGACCAATATTGGTAACTAAAGGTCTCAAGCAGACTTTGTATTAATATAAGGACTTCTAAGAGAAATTTTTTTAACTTTTCAATTAAACTATAACACAGGGACTATAGAATGCTCAGGTGAAAAGTATACAGTGGGTGAAATATCACAAAATGTACATATCCCTATAATTATTACCCAGATCAAGAAAACAAAGACCTTTTTTTTCTAAGAAAAGTAACATTCACAGGTTATGGGAATTAGGACATGGATATGCCTTTGATAGGCCATTTTTTTAAACCTATCACACTGTTCCAGTATGGATGAGCACTTAAGATATTACACTAGCTAGGGGTGCCTGGGTGTCTCAGTTGGGTAAGCATCCGACTTCAGCTCAGGTCATAATCTCACAATTTGTGGGTTTGAGCATCAGCTTGGAGCCTGGTACCTGCTTCGGTATTCTGTGTCTTCCCCCACAACCGCCGCCCCCTGCCTCTCCCTCTGCCTCTTCCCTGCTAATGTCTTTCTCTTTCAAAAATAAATATTTAAAAAGATACTAAAGTAGCTATATTATAAATAAACACTTCTATGATTATTCTGCTTTGGAGGGCATGTGTATATGTGCCTGTTGACTATATAATTAGGAGGGAAATAGGCAGGCAATTGGCTACTTATGCTCAACTTTAGGGTTTATGGCTTTAGGGGTGCCTGGGTGGTTCCGTCAATTAAGTTTCCAACTTCCA